AATGCTCTTGACTGAGTAGACATCTCCCCAGGTCCCCAGAGTATTTTTGGTCTACCGTGTTTCTTCCCTTCTACTTTATGTTTCCTCTGTTTTACTTTAGGAAGCAGGTAGTATGTGTGTGATAACATTTTCTATATTCTGGATGTTGCTGAGTGCATCCTATGGTGTCATTTCATGTGTTTATCTATAGTTACATTTCCTCTGACCTGGCAGAGCCAAAACCTTGACCAGATTTACATGCAATTATTTGGCCAGCTACGTTATGGGTGGCAGAAGCATATAATTGCTGATGCTTTTAAAAAAATCTTCAGTGTAAACATCTTCATTTTTAACCTCCAGGTAGCAATATTGTGGGAAAAATGAACAAAGCATCCTATTCTCAGTCTACCCTTTTCATTCAAGTAGAAGCCACTGGTGAGGTCCATGGCCTGTGAGTGCCTGGCATCTGTATGTCTCCACCCTTCAATAGTGGGGTTGATGGGACATGCAGCCATGTGTAGCTTTATATGTGGGTGCTGGGGATTCAAATCCAGGACCTCAGGCCTGAAGGACTAGTATTGTCATGAGCTGGGCCATCTCCCCTTGCCACCCTTTCCTTCTGCCTTCACAGTAGAACCCTACTGTAGCGATGTAGTTTCAGCTTTTTTATTTTGTTCATTCATTGAGAAACTTACACAGTATGTTTTATCATACTCCTTTTCATCCCCAAGCTCCTCCTAGCTCCTCCTGTCCCTTCCTACCTAATTCCACGTTCTTTCTCTCTCTTATAAAAGGGGTGGTGGTGGGGATCACTAAGACACGGAGTCTGATTTGCTTCAAGCAGCTGCTCCTGAGTTTGGGCTGCCCTGCGGTGTGATGGATATGCCCAGTGTTCGTTCATCAGAGAAAGTTGATTTTTCCTCTCCCACCAGCTAAGATTTGCAAATAGCTTCTTGGCTGGGCATGGGACTCTGTGCCCACTTCACTTCTGTGCTTGGATTTTTGTCTGGCTTGAGCCTGTACAGGTCAATCTCTGTGAGTTCACACTCACGTCAGCCCCATTGTGTCTGGAACATACTTTCCTTAGGATCATCCACTGCCTGTGGCTTGCATAGTCTTTCCATTCCCTCTTCCTCCCAGGTCCCTGATCCTTGAGAAGAAAGGTGGGATAAAATTATCCCATTCAGGGTGAGCACTCTGAAGTCTCTCATTCTTTACTTGTTATCCAGCAGTGGTCTCTACATTAGCTCCCATCTACTTTTAGAAAACCTTCTGATGAGGTTTCACTGGTACGCTGATCTATGGGGGAAGTTATTTCGCGGTTGAATTAGCAGAATGATTGTAGTGGGTCTTCCCCTGGAGCTCATGACCTATCTAGTCTCAGGTTCCATCTCCAGAATTTAGTCTCTTTCCCTTCCTCGTACAGCTCTTCTTAGTTTCTGTGCCCAATGCCTGTGCTCTTCACCTACATAGCCACAACATTTTAAAGCAAGTGCCTGGTTTTCCTGTTTAGATCTCTGTGTCCTATACAACACTTCGGCTTGGTAGAAAGTTGAATTATTCAAGATTTGCTCAACCAAGCTTCTGGGTCTGAATTGAATAGGAACAGTCTATTTAACTCTTTTTTTATGGATATATATGTTCAAAAACAAAACAAACAAACAAAAACCAAATTGCTGAAATGCTTTCCTATAGCTAAACCATCTAAAGACTCTAACAGAGTAATTGGCACCTGAGCAACAACAGCATTTATTGATATCTGTAAGGTGGATACCAGATGAGAAGAATATTGTGACAAGACTAGAAAGCATCCATGGACCACGCAGAACTAGTAATTATTCTTTATTCATACTGAAAATACTAATGAAGACAAACAGAAATAAGCCTGAGTGTAAGATGAGGTGGGCCCCATTTGCACAACCAAGGGCCGTGTATCAGATGATACAATGTACTCTGCTTTATGAAGGGTTCCAGCAGCTTCTTGGTCTGAGCCTCAGATATGTAACTTTCACAGTCAGCCCTACATGTAACAAACCCTAGGCAATCTGGCTGATTTAATTACATTAATTTTTACTTACCAGTCTCTGAAATATGTTTCAGGAAGGAACATATATTTCACTGACCATGGACTCATTCCCTTTATTTAGTGCTTTTATACTAATGCAATGATGTGTGCAATAGCCGGTTTCCCTTTCTTTCAACATAGTGAAAACTTGCATAATTGTGAAAGTTTAAATGCTTAAGTCTTTTGCTATTTATTTTATTTGAAATCCAGCATATTATTATATATCTTCAAAACTCTAACTGCTGTCTTCTTCCAACCCTTCAATTAAAACCCACAATGCAACCTCTTGGCACTAGACCCGCCTTTCATGTTTATTCAACTGAGCTCGAATCTTGAAAACGTGTTGAAGTTTGGGGTTTTCTGGTGAGACTGACATCACATTGACCGTGGCTGTGATTGGCTGCTGAAAGGCAGAGAGGGTTTATAACCATCAAGAGCAAGTGACTGGGTGAGTGACAGCAGAGGAGACAATCCGTGCCACTTACTCACTCACTCCAGCCAGGACTGCGGAAGGGTAAGATGAGCAAATTTCCCCACCTTACAGCCAGCACCTCGGGCTTGTGTGTGTGGATTTGGCTTGGAATTTTTTTTTTCTATTGAAATGTGGGTCTTACGGCACTGTGCACAATGGCTCAGATTAAGCTTTTGTTTATTATGGATGGGACCTCTGAGTTTAGCTTCTCTCCAGATGCCAGGCTTCTTAACCTAAGCAAGTAGGTAAACTGTTCAGATTGGGGACATATACCCTGGCCAATTGCTTCCCTCATGCTGATGTACTTAGGGCAACCTAACTGCAATGCTATTTATATTTGTAAATTGCCCAGATAAATGCATTTTCCATGTCATACCCAATCTGCACTTTGGTAATACACATCATTTGTTAATAGGCCCTGTATTAAATTTCAAAGTGTTTGCACCCTATAGCTCTAAAATCAGCATGGAAATGTATACTACTAGAGAAGTGGGTGAGTTTTGCCCTTATATGTAATTATAACACAATCGTTTAAGAGTGTTTGAGTTGTCCAGAGAGTGGTGGCCACTACAGAGGTCTCTGCCATTCGATGAATCAAAAAGTAAATAAGATGAGATAAACATGGGCAGCCAGTTCAGGTACACATTTCACTTGTTTTTATACATAAAATATTATCACCTCTGCCATGTTTTCATGTTGGTTAGGTTGTGATTTCTTGTGAGAAATTTTTCTTAGCTCTGCCTACAGTTCTATTTTAAGTTTTAAGTTCTTTGAGTATGAATATCACATTTCCATGAAGCTATAAAGCAAAGCTCCTACTCCTCATCTTCCTTCTTCTCCTTCCTCCTCCTCTACTTCATCTTCATTGCTATTGTTTTTGTTTCATTTTTTGATTACTCAGGATTACTTAGAATTTACTACGTAGCCAAGGATGTCCTTGAGCTCCGGATTCTCCTGCATCCACCCCCTAAGTGTATCACCAGGACTGGCTCATTAATCTTCTTAACACAGGTGGCCCATCTTCATGGATTGTAAATTTGTTAAAGTCTCTCTCTCTCTCTCTCTCTCTCTCTCTCTCTCTCTCTCTCTCTCTCTCTCTCCTGCCCCCTTCTTCCCTTTTCCCCCTCTTTTGTTTGCACGTAAGTGAATATGAATGATTCCAAGACATACGATGAAAAGAGCTGTGGAAAACATGTGTACACACCAAGTCAAAATTCCCACACCAGCAGTGTGCCTGGAGCCTTACTCTGCATAATGCTATCTTAGAATCTAATACTTGGTATGTTTGTAGTAAATGCTAATGAGGTAAAATGAAAAGAAATCTCCCCACAGAGTACAATGCATGACATCAATTTTATATGTTTTAAACTTTTAATTACAAAATGTATTTGGAGAAATTGCCATTCCCATTATATCACCGAATTGCCACTGTGTGTGAAGCAACTCCTGTCAGCTGTAAGTGAGCAGGTGTTGGGATCCCAGCTAATTTGATAGACGATAGAGGTAAAATAGAACTTTAGGTAACACTTTGCTGTCTGCTTCTATTTACGATGAAGCTATGTGAAAGGGGGAGCTGCTGCTGCATACTCAGGATTGCTCCTGACTATCCTCCCGCTGGTGGCTGCATCTTGGTATTTCTATAGAGCATCTGAATCTACCCCAGCAGCGCTCCACACTGAGAAACCTCAGCACTCCACATTAAGGTGTGCAAAGCTTAAATGGAACTGGGGAAACCTGATTCCAGGACATTTATTCTGTACTTCCAGATGAAACTCAGAAGAGCTCTTGAAACTGTCAAGAGCTATTTCTCACATGATCGCATGCCATATGATATGAGTTATTTCTCTCCTTTCTCCTCTATTCCCTTTTCTTTCTCTCCATCCTTCCCACCCCTCCCTCCCTCCCTTCTTGTCTCCCTCCCTTCCTCTTTCTCCTATCCTCCCTCACCCTCACTCTTCCAGGTTCCAAACCAACTATGAAGTAGTCATAGTGAAAAGGCTCTCACTGTCTATTTTAAGAATGAACTTTCTGTTCAAAAATACACACAGAAGCTGGAAACTGCTTGTAGTCTGCTGTGTAAATGAACCCTTTCAATGAATTAGAGCTCTGCTTGATTTTTAACCATTAGCAGCTGAGTGGAACACATAGCTACTCTGACAGGACAGCGGGTGTGGCTGATACTCCCTTGCCAGTATCATTTGGAGATTCCTTCACCATGTCTGAAGCATTCGATTATTCAGATCCTGTGACCCTCCACTGACAAACCACAGAAAAATAGGGGAGACAAATGTAGTGCTCAGAATTGTACAGTCATGGCTACAACACAAATGCAAGGACTGTCAAGACTAAGGATCAAACACAGGCCCTTACATGTGCCAGGAAAGTATCTACACTTCTAGATCAATTAAATTCTTTACCAGCGAATGAGCCATGCCCTATGTTTTGATGTCTATTAACTACATCCCTTCTTGGCTTGTAGAAACAATTGCAAAATGAAGACCGCTTTGATTCTGCTCAGCATTTTGGGAATGGCTTGTGCTTTCTCGGTAAGTTCATTGTGAAAAAACCTGTACTTTTGGCCGTTGCATTTTTATATAAATGTGGTAAGTAATGATAAAATGTTCTTTTGCACAGATGAAAAATTTCCACCGCAGGGTCAAAGCTGAGGACTCTGAGGAAAATGGGGTTAGTAATTTCAGAAAAATTCTCTGGTCTTTACTTATTCTAACATATTGTACAGTACACACAAAGCTAACATTCATCTTATGTGTGCAGGTCTTTAAATACCGGCCACGCTATTTTCTCTACAAGCATGCCTACTTCTATCCTCCTCTAAAGCGGTTTCCAGTCCAGGTGAGTTCAAAGCTTAATTTCCTTTCCAACAGTGGTGCATTTATTATAGGGATTAAATTAACACACAAACATCTGAACCCACTCTCCATTCATCCAGGTCCCTCCTTCTTGCTATGGAAACCTGAATATATTAGAAAAAAAAACAAATCCTAAGTTTTCTTCCAACACAAGAGACAAAGCACACAGAGATGAAGACTCGGGTAATAGAAAGAAGTGCCCCGATGTCTAGAGTTCAAATGTTCAGCTAACCTGCTGAGCACAGTGAACCATTTTGTCAGGTACTGACAATGGAGCCAGTGATAATTGTCATTATGGTTGGTTCAGGGCAGTCACCGAGCTGATCACACCAGGCATTTCAGCATCCTCTGAGCTCTGGAAAAGCTGAGTTCATAAGCACCTGGGACTTCAGACAGCCTTAGTAACTCACTGTCAGCGATGAGGATGTCTGGAACGCTTACCCGGTTAGGTGGCAGAGCTATGGCTTGCACACGGAGCACATTATATCGGGGTCCTTCCCAAGCACTGCAGAGAAAGAGAAACCTGTGAAATGTATGAAGCCTGTGAGGAAAAACAAAATCAGTAAAATTTGTAAATAAGAAGGAAAAATGACTAAATCTAAAAATGAGACATCCCATTTTTGCTGGGTTATTTGTAAAAGAGGCCTTTTGGATGCTGGAGGGTGTGGCGCTGGTTCGAAATACATGTAAGACTAGTGTGACACTATTTTTGTGACTTTACAGTTTGGATTCAGAGCATCAATTATGCACCATTTGACTCAGGGCTCCCAAGGCACTGAAAGCAACAGAATGCTGCAAACACTCCCTCAGTGCAATGGCTTGGCTCCGAGTCTCACCATATGTCGGGCTGACCCCCATCATGCAATGATGGGAAATCATAGCCCTCAAGTATTTCTAGCACCATTATAATTATAGGGAACTTGTGTGGCCACAGAAATTCGAGCATGGATGATACAAGAGTTGTGGGTTTTCAGAATTGTCTTCCTTTCTTTGGATTACCTCGGGCCCAGAAATAAACTGGGTCCATTTGGAAACTTGTTCTCTGTCTAAAACAGAAATGAGATAAATTCTAGTTCCTAAATGGCTGGCCAACTTTTCTGAAATACCCAATACTTAGATACAACCATTCCCACCTAGATTTATATATATATGCATGATCCAGCTAAAATGTCCATGTATATTAATAATGATAAAGTTACATTTTTTGTTGTTTTTAATAGACTCAAAGTCCACAGAAGTCAAAGATACTTTTGTCACATATTATATACAAAGGGGCTTGATCAATTTAAGTAGACCTTATAATATAGTTGTTTTAAAGTAAAAAAAAAAAAATCTCCAAATACAACTTTCTGAGATATTTGTGACAAGCTCCTGTTTTTATAAAGTTTTATGTCTCCTACCTTGTATCAACATCTATTTATTATTCAAAGTTGTTATCCTGACCTTATGAGTTTCATTTTATTGTCTTCAAAATTCATGTTTTAGTTAGCAAGTCTGTTTATGGGCAGTCATCCACAAAATAGCAACTTGCACACAATGGGTTGCAAAGCCACCAGAGGGTCTACTATAAATTGTCTGCATGCTGAACTATAGAAACAGAAGAATAAGTTAGTTTAATTAATATCCTAAACTGTTTTAATGAAAAATTACATTTTATGCTTAAGATGATATTCGATTAGTGTGCCAACTTGTAGCCAGCAAAATTCAATTTTATTTCTTTATCATATTCAGCTGACATACAAATGTGGGTTTTAAGAACTGCCTTCTATTTAGACACCTGTTCATCTGTTTTTTTTTTTTTTTTATCTACCCATCATCTCTCATGTGCCTATACAAATACAGGAAAGGCCCTGGAAGAATCAGAAAGACTTTGTGATAAATTGGTAATAACTAAAAGAGAGTGATTCAAAACAATAAAAATAGAATACAAACCTTTAAAGTTATTCCATTCAGCTCTTGCATGGTTCCTAACACACACACACACACACACACACACACACACACACACACACACACACACACACGGTAGCATGTTAGTGAGTGCGGGAGGAAAACAGAGCAAAGAAGGCATGAAGAATACCTAATACACCCCAGCTGAGAAAACAGCTCTGCTTAGATAAATATATGGTCCTCTATATTTGAGTTAATAACTGGGAATAGCTCAAATATAATGATTTATTTTATTCCCCCCCGGGTGTGAAACAGCACAACTACTAGGTCATGGCAGTGTAGGGAGGGTCTATTATTCTTTTTCCACCCAAAGTTATTATTGGCCCAAGGCAGCAAGCTTTCCCTTTCCTTGGCTTGTGACAAGGCCACCTGGAGAATGAGGTCAGCAGGGACCTCAGCATCATAGGGATGAGTCATCTCTGTACAGCCTCATTGCTAATCCAGGAGTTACAGGTCCTTCCACGTTCTCCCAGGACAGGATGCTTAACTGATCATCAGAATCAAAGCTGACACTGATAAGCAGCAAATGGCTGACACATGGATCCCCAAGGCCATTGGAGCTGGTGCAGAATATGAAGGGAGATTCCCTTTGGGTTAGCTTTGGTAAAAAGATCAAGAATCTCCTCTCTTGGTTTAGAAGTTTTGGTGCATGTTTAGACTTATATGTAATTAAGAAAGAAAAAGAAAAAAGCTCAGAATGAGCATATGTCTGGTGTGTAGAGCATTTGCCCTCAGTTTGAGTCACAGCTGTAAGAATATAACACAACACTATAAAGGCAACAATGATGAAGACCCCAGGGAAGCTCATTCATTCCTGTTTTACATGTAGGCTTCTTGGTTTACTTTATTGTCACCCCACCAAATCGTAAGTGCTTTTATGTCTTTTATCTAATTTCACTGTGAATATATATATATATATATATATATATATATATATATGTACACACCAACTAACAACATTTTTAAATTAGTTTTAATTAAGTTGAGAAACTAGAAATACAAATTTAATTTCTCTAAATCAAGTTAAATTTATTTTTCAGTATTTGAGAGAATTATCAAATAACAATTTACACATTGTAGTAAGCTACATCATTACTACCTATATTTTATAAGAAAATAAGACTATGAAATCTGTGTCTTAGTCTGAGACATGCTTAGAAAAGTTTGGGAGACTCGCTGGTTTTGAATGGTTCCTTCTTGGAGAGATGCACTCAGTAGTCCTTCATTCTTTCAAAACTAAGCAGCTTGTGATTTGTTGTTCCGGCTTTTTATAAGATATAATATCTTAGCGTATTGTCTATGTTTGTGGGGTTGAAGGTGAGAAAACCTCATTCATATGCTGTTCATTACACAGCAGCTGTTTCTCTGCATTCTTTTTATATATACTCAAGTGTATCCACACTGTTCTTACTTTAGCTTGACACTATTTTGTGTTAATAAACCAGCCAAGTTGAGAATACTAATAAGAGTAAATAAGTAAATGTCTCTTTGTGTTACATTTTAATCATCAGGAAATGTCAACTGTTGCAGAGTATATATGTATGTGTGTGTATATATATATATATATGTATATATATACATATATATGTGTGTGTGTACATATATATGCTTCCTATGTGTATATACATGCATAAAATGCCATGTATATGTGCATGTATATATGTATATGTATATTTTAGGGAGGCAGTGACTCTTCTGAAGAAAATGGAGATGGTGATACTTCAGAGGAAGAGGGGGAAGAGGTAAGACATTTTCTATTTCTTCCATAACAAGCCAGGCCACACAGGAACTATTAGCAATCTGTACTCAGCAAATAGCCATTGCTGCCTTGCCCATAGCCAGATATTTTGGACAGGTAGAATGCCATTTAAATTAGAAACAACTAAACAATGTGCTTCAAACACCATTGCAAAGTGGGGTTAAAGTTACCTAGAAGTGGTACACAAAAACAAAGGTGTCTTCATTTTAAGAAACCTGTAAAACCCATTAAAATGCAGCATGACATTTATTTATATTGAATGTCCATGTCAATAGACAAGAAAGAAATAACCCTAAGCTTGGTGTGATGCAACTTTCTTAATGGACAGGATGTGAAGCCAACTGATAACTCTACAGTGGTGTCCTGATTTAATCTACAGAATATGGTCAGGCTCTTTAATAGCAACTTAGTAGATTTTTATGTAATTATTAGATTACAAAAACTAAATACTCATGATGTATAAACATCTTCCAAAGAGTTAAACTAGTGTAATTAATGGCCAAAATTCATTTATATAGCTTAGAAATCATGCTATAATGTTTATAAATGACATCTTTCCTAAGGAAATATACTATTAGGATATATTTTCCTGGATAAACAATTATAGCTACCCCTGGCTTGGAAACCTTCTAAATTCAGGTATCCCTAGTTGGTATTTATGAATAGGAAATGACAGTCAAAAATCTGTGTCAGCTATCCTGAAAGCAAAAGATGTGGCAGCTCTAATGGTGACCAAGTATTGATGTTTTCTTTTGGTTAAGTAACATTTCCTGTGCTATAGTTACACTGACAGTGGAGGGAAGGCCTTAAAAATAATGCCAAGCCAGGACCAGAAAGCATGTGTAGCCTATATCCTTCAAAATCTTCCTTCAGATCAGAATTACTCCAAAATTAAGGGAGACTCGTCCATTGTACTGCAGCTTTGTTGTTGTTTAGCAATTGTAAAGTGGCCTTTGCAAATCCCAGCTACACCATGCATCTCTTGGCAGTAGTTCTGCACACCCAAAATGTTGCCAGCCACTTCTGAATACATAGGTTACAAATAGACCCAAGAACCCTGGGTTAAACTCTGTTTAAGGAAGAACTGTTCTGTGCCCCCTGCTGTAACTCCTTATACTGCCTAGCAAAATTATGTTTCATTTATGAAACCCAGGAAATAGTTCATGATTTGGTTTCAAAATTCCAAAGGAATAGATAAGGCAAAGGCTTTTCGTTCACAGTAATCATAGGAAGGTGGGTGGATTCTGGAATCTTTCAGCTGCAAGATTCTAGACATGTTTTCATCTTCATTCCTTCTTTAAAAGTAATTGATATTTCCAGTTAGGTATGCAAATGTTGGGAGTTATATTCACATGAGGAAATTACTTGGGCACATTTTCTATTTGATGATAACAGCCTGCACACACCTTAAAGTATTTCAGATTTATTTAATTGAAATATACATGATAACATTATCAGCTCATTGAAATTTCAGAAACTGAAAATATAAGTAAAATCAGCACTAATATTTAAAACAGCACATGTCTGATATTACATTAATCAACTCCTTTAATTGAAAAGGTTAATTCTTGCTTTTTTTTAAATACACAATGCTTTATTTAATATATACTATGCATGCACATATTCTGTATATGGGATGATGTAATACACATTCTTTTGTAAGAGGCTTTTGTTGTTTTGGCCTTCAGAAAGAGTCTTCCTTATTATCCTGTCCATACTGAGTACCCAGGATTCCTGCCACTATTTCACAGCATCAGTGTGTTGCAATGTGTGATTCATCTGAAAATGGGCATCTTGGTAGAATTACTATGAAGGTGGTGCTGCTAGAAACATGCTAGAACTTCTTCAAGTGACTATTCCCATGGGTGATGGGAGGCCATTTGACTGAAAAGAGTAGTTTCTTAGTCAAAAGGTGTACACTCGTTCAGTTTCACTAAAGGCTTTCCAACATAAGAGTAGTCAAGGAAAACCCCACTCAGAGTGTACAAAGCCTCTGCCTCTCCCTAGTCTCACCAACATCTGGTTACTTAATTTGTTTTGGCCATTCTGGAGGAGGGGTGTCATGGATATGGGTAACTTTTCTATCTAATAAGATATTTGAAGCCCAATATCTAGCAACAGCCCAATCCATTACCTTTTTAATTTGTTTGCACAAGAGCATTCTTGAATTAAGTTTCTGGGCCTAGAGAGGATCTAAGAGAAGGAACTGCATACATTAGGAGACTGAGCACTCTTCACTCTTCACCCTGCCATCAATGAATCACCATGCTCTTGACTTCAGCTTTTTCAATGAATTGAGGCAACAAGAGTCAACTAGCTTGGCCTCTTAGAATCTCTCCAATGATACAAATTTCTCCTTATACCACTAAATGTCTAATCTGTTTGAATGAATAATTTAAAAACAAAACAGACTATATACCACTTATGGGATATTGAGCACACCTAGCTTGGAAGGGTGGGCTTGGATTATATCAAATCCTTTGCTGAAAACTATAGCATTCATAGACTTAATGAGAAAAATCCTGCTTTAGTCAAGTTGTTTTCATAAGAAAGATCATACTCAGATGTAGTTTGTTTTCCTGAAATCTTAACATTATCCTAACATCACAATCTCCCAGAAATACCTTCAAGTATATTGAACTGCCCAGTATTCATTTAAATACATAAATTTAAATATATGAAATACAGAGTTTTACTAGTAGGTATTAATTATAATGATAGATTAGCTCAATTTGCAAGCTTTTATCTCACAGCATAAATAAAAGAATAAATGTTAAAGATTATAATGCCCACTTGTTCAAGTCTTAGTTTTTAATCATCTTCATGTAACATCATTATACACCACTGTAAATTTCTTATGCAGAAGAAACATTTGTATGCTAAATATCTAAAGCACAAAAGCTGTTAAGTTGCTACAGTGGAAAGCATAGTCACCGAAGCATCCCAACAGCTGATAAATAGGATTAAATAATGCTGAGTTCTTAGAAATAAGAAGGGAAATGGCATACGGGATGAGCCAGCCGAGGATATTTTCAAATAGTGCCTCAAACACCCAACAAGTCCTGAGCTCCAGTGTAGCTATAGTAAATTTTGAACTCTGAATATTTTTACCAGGAGACTTCAAATGAAGAGGAAAACAATGAAGATTCCGAGGGAAATGAAGATGAGGAGGCAGAGGCTGAGAACAGCACACTCTCTAGTGTAACAGCTAGCTATGGAGTCGAGACCACAGCTGGAACAGAGACTATAGGGTTAGCTGCACTCCAACTGCCCAAGAAGGTGATGAGTCCCAAACATTCATCTGTTTCCATCTCTGCTGATGTGCAAGTTGTCTGATGCTATTCACATCATATTTGATACAATCTTTATTTATATTATTACCCCATTAAGGTAGCAAGAGTAGATATGCTTTCCCTGATTACAAATGAGAAATGAAACTCTGGTTTCTCTTCATACCATATAACTCATTTGCCTTTTACAAATGAGGAATGATATTCTGCAAATTTCCTCCCAAGCTATTGTACCATCCCACTTCAGAGGTGTGGCTTCCAAGGCAGAGAAAGTGGGGGATGGAGCTAAATAAGTACGGCACACAGAGAAGGTTTACAGGGTATACACCCCAACCCCATCAAACCCCATTACAAAATATCTATTCTGAGTTTTTAAAGTCATCACCAATTCTTACACAAGTTATCTTTACCTCAAAACATCATATGCAACACCGTATCTAAGAGCTCTTAGATTTTCGCACCTACGTTTGCATGATTTCAAATCTTCCCTTTCAGGCTGGAGATGCAGAAAGCAAGGCTGCAAAAAAGAAGGAAAGCGATGAAGAGGAAGAGGAAGAGGAAGAAAATGAAAACGAGGAAGCAGAAGTAGAAGAAAATGAACAGGTCACCAATGGCACCAGCACGAACTCCACGGAGGTGGATGGTGGGAACGGCAGCAGCGGAGGAGACAACGGAGAAGAAGGCGAGGGACAGAGCGTCACCGAAGCAGGTGCAGAAGGGACCACAGTGGGCAGGGAGCAGATCAGTGACAGCCCCACCACAGCTGTCCTTCGGAACGGGTTTCAGTATACCACCCCACCACCGGAAGCCTATGGAACCACCTCCCCACCACTCAGAAAAACCACCACCGTTGAGTACTGGGGAGAATATGAACAGACAGGCAACAATGAGTACAATGGTGAGTATCAAGTCTACGACAATGAGAATGGGGAGCCTCGTGGGGACAATTACCGGGCCTATGAGGATGAATACAGCTACTACAAGGGGCGTGGCTATGAAGGCTATGATGGTCAAGATTATTACTACCACCAGTGAAGCCCTGCCTCCTGGGGAGGGGCAGGGGTAATTACCCATTCTGTCATTGCATCTGGCTACCACATATTTTCAAAGTTCAACTCAGGAAGGTGCAATATAACAAATGTGCATTTTACAATGTGGAATGGTGCTACAGTCCCAGAGTAATTTCTGCAAATGCTTCTGTTTACTGTAATGGCTTCTTTTTCATTTTCCCATATGTATCACTTGAAAGATCATTGTAAGTCAGGGACATTGATCAAGCAGTGCACCCACGAGCTGGGGCTGGATGGAATACTTTGAGGTGGTAACTCTACAGTGTTTACTCTGTGTGTACTATTGCTAACTGCCCAAACACACTTTTTGTACAAGACAGCTCATGAGAGATTTAGAAACAACACTGCATACAATAATGGTGTATTTCCTATATCACACTCCCTACCCAACATGTGACCTGTATGCACAGATTTTATCACAAATAAGCATGCAAATGTGTTATAACTAAGAAGGAATAGGGACCATGGGAAAGCAAGTGGCTTGAAGGAGGGTGGTGCAAGTCAGCTAAAAAGCAAGCTTATTTCCACCAGGGTTTGATCTGGAAATGGTCTCTCTTCAATAAATCTGCATGGCTAAGGTTTGATGAGGGCAGAATCAGCTATACACACCAGCAAATAAATGGCTCTTAGAGTTTCCACACTTAACAAACATGGATCCGTGAGAGATGCCCACTTTGGTTTGAATTTCATATAAACGATGATTGTTCCTTTAATACAAGTGGCCCCATGAATAAGTAGTCTCTGTGAAATATATGGAACAAACTTATGCTGAATAAATGACTTATACTTTAATATCCAACTGTAACTAGATGTCTTGTGTCTTTCTGGTAAGCTTAACCCCACAAAATTTGAAAACTACACAAAATGCACCTAAAAACACAAAAAACAAACAAACCACATACACATCTAAACACACACACAAACACACATGCAGACACCCCCCCCCACACACACACATAATTAGTGTACAAAGTCTTGACAGCAACTGACTCCTTAATGTAAACCTAAAAACAAACTTCAAGTAAGCATATAGACACTTGGCATAAGCATGACAATGACAATAATTTACATATCCTTTAATTTATTCATTATAAGACATATGAACCCACATTGTTAAAGTTCAGACATACAGCACACAGAAATGTTGACTCTTGTCAGAATGATTTCAGTTTGGTTGTGTTCAGTCACATCATCACTGGCTCACTGTCCATGACAGAAGAGTTGGGAGACTAGTCTGTAAGCACCTCACAGTACCTGACACCTTGCTTACTGCCTTAGTTTCTTTTCTTGTTGCTGTGATAAAATACACTGGCAAGAACATCTTAAAGGGAAAGGTGTTTATTTCAGCTCACAGTTCAAGCCAGCCCTCATGGCAGAAAAGTGGAGGCAGCTGTGGTTTGAACTAACAGGTCACATGGTATTCACAATCAGTCAAGAGTAAGGAATGCATCCTGCCCTTCAGTTTCCTTTCTCTGTAGAGTCCAGGATTCCAGGCAGGGAATGGTGACTTCCACAGTGGGAGGGTGTAAGGAGTATGGTTTTTCCACCCACCGCTGCTGGTCTTGTCCCGCTGCCGCGCCAGCCCCAATTAACACACAGAGACTCTGTATTTGATATCCTGTTGGCCAGTTACTAGTTTCTTATCGGCTAGCTCTGTCTTAATTATTAACCCATTTCTATGTATTTCCACGTGGTCTTACCGAGAGCGGAGGAATGGCGGTTCTGTTCTCTCCAGGCTCTCCATTCTGACCCTCCTTACTACTTCCTCTTTCCTCCTTGTCTCCTAGTCCCTCCTATCTTCCTTTCCTATTGGCCAACAGTGCTTTATTCATTAACCAGTATAAGAAACATATACAGAATGACATCTCCCATCAGGAGGGTCTTCCCTCCTCCGTTAAAATTGGGATAGTATCCTGCAGGCATGTCCAGAGATCCATCTACCAGGGGATTTGGGATTCTTTCAGTTTGATAGTTAACACTAAACACGTCAGGCACATAGAGATTAAGTGAGAACTTGTATTAGAAAGGGAAGAGAGAGGGAAAGGAAAGAGAAGAGAGGTAAGAGACACAGAGAAAGGACAGAAGAGAAAGGGAGACAGGAAAAGTCCTGTCTGCCCCAGGGGAACAGCAGAAAAGAGAGAGCAGAAGTGGGTGGGGCTTTTTCTTGCAAAGGGTCCTTTGCTCCTGCATACACACTAGGTAGAGGTGTAGCAGCCAGGGAACCCTGGGCTGACAAGAGTACTGCCTGAGTGCATTCTGCCAGGTGACAGGGGCAGGTCTGCATGCCTGCACCCCTGCAGATAATGATAGTTAACTAGAACAGAATCGGACAGAATGACTCTGGATCCACTGCAGTTAAGGAAGTCATTAAAGAAAAGCTAAAGTAACACAATGCAAACAAACATAAGCTTAAAAGATAGAGAAAACTATATATGCCCCAGTATGGTAAGCAAATCTCAATGTGTCCACCACACGGGGAGAAGCTGATTAAAGTCACATTCTGCTTCCTGTGGTCTTGAAACACAGAACAGCGACCTCTGGAAGGAACAGAATACTATTTTGAGAATGAGCAATGTTTTCTCCTTGAAGTCACACAGAAGAGCTTTATAGTCACTTCCGGTAATGTCGCCATGTCCTGAAGGAAAGGCTAGTATCATTATAATTACATTTTAATTACATCCTCTGAGTCGTCATCTTAAGTTGTAATAAAACTTCTTCCTGATATAAAAATAAAGGCAAATTATATTGACATAGCCTCTCTTTGCAAGTAAAAGCCCAACGGGTATGTGGTCTGGAGAATGGGACACAACTAGTTTCATGTTGTTCTGTGCCACTCTGTGGGACTGCGCTTGAGCGAAATGCCCAACACTGAGGGAAAATCATACTTTCTAAAGATAAAAATAATTTGGGGGAAAATGCGAAGCTGGTCATCAGTGATGTTTTAGAAAGTGAATTTTTTGTAGTGCCAGATGAATATTGATAATTATTAAAGAGAATATTTAAAAGAAAACATCTTATTCTTTGAAGTGGGACAAGATTTCCAGGATTATTTTGTAAACAAAACTTTTAGGACATGTTTGTTTGTTTGTTTTAAAGTCAGCAAAGGGGACAGGTTCCAGGAGAAGAGAAACAAGATCTCAGTCTGTGGAACATCCACGCTAATCTCTCAGATGCCTCTTCCCAGAATGCTTCTCTTCAAACCTCCAGCTAGAAAGGGTCTCACTATTTTTGCTTTTGTCAATTGTAGGTTCTAAGTTTAAGACTTAAGTTGAGTGCTTTTCCTTTGAATTCATTTCAGCTTTGAGAACATGTATATTTAGCTCCATTCAGTCTGCTCTTTGAGGAGAAGGAGCTGAGTCCCAAGTCTTAAAGTTCTATGAATTTTCTTTCCTAGAACTCGTTATTTCAGACCAGAATTATATATATATATATATATATATATATATATGTGTGTGTGTGTGTGTGTATGTGTGTGTATATATATATATGTATGTATGTGTGTATAATATATCTTATATTATATATTTATAAATTTAATAGGAAATTTCTTTCACAGATAGGAACAGTCTTGAAAGGAAGGAAAAATACATTTGCATACATATGAAATTCTTATAAGAGTATGGCAATGAAAAACCAATAGATGCCTCTATTATATATGAGACACAAATAAAACACTCTGTGTGAATCATTAAAGTTATGAATGGTGTAAAAGCACAAAATACTGAATGACCTATTGTAAATTCTCCTGAATTGACCATTGGATTAATAGAATACAGTTTGCAAATGAACATTTTTACATTTCTTCTTTTTTTTTCTCTTTCTCTCTCTTTTATTTACCATTTGTGTTTTAGTTGGTGCTTTTCTCTTTTGTTTCCATCATTTTGTTAGTTTTGTCCTTTGTTGCTGAAATCCTCAGCACTGATGAAACTGGTGACCCCAATGCATGTGATGTTTAGAGAAATACACCCTCCAGTTCTTAAACTTCAGCCCTGTTATTTCTCTCTGATTTTGTGAGTTCATTAGATAAACCACAGAAGAGGCAGTAAGACAACTAACAGAAGACAGGGATAAGAAATAAAGCATGTCTGTTACACCTGGGTCCCAGACAGTCATTAGTAACAGGAACAATGCGTGGGCTAAGCACCTTGCAGAACTAGGTAATGTTCACACTGACATTATGTGTCAGCATAGCCCACTAGCCTTAATAAGCCAAATTTCCTATGCTATTTCTAGCTTTTCTATTTGCTGATTATATGACCTTAGTTCTTGAGGCATTCTGTGTCTTGTCACTAAAAGCTATGATAATAATATTATCTACATCTGAGTTTTTACAGGGGTTAAATTAATTAGAATAATGCTTGGATGGGAAAAAGAATGAAAAAAAATTCAATTTCGTTGTTTGAGCAATTTGTCCCTATGACTCGTCATGGAGCTGGGCTTGAGCTCAGATGTGGTTAAGTAAATGCCTCGAGGGTTAAATGTCTCCACTGACAATGATAGTGATCAAATATTCTAAAATTCAGTTAGATGGTTTCAAATCAACTGTGGTTCTCTTCACCCACAACAGCTTGAAGTTCTTCTAAGTTTTTGAATCAGCTCAGGATCCTTGGAGGAGAAGCCATAGAATTTGTAGGAACCAAGAAGGATTTGGCTTAAACTAGACAAACCAGCATTGTCCAACCCAAAGCTGTGTCAGGGATATATTGCTCATTTTTTTCTGCTTTTCATTTTTTAATTTTGTTTTCACCTATTTGAGTTTGGGGAAATCAGAGGTTTGTACTTAAAATTAATGACATATTATTTATAATTGACTATAAAGCTGTATTTTTGCATAAGTAGCTCTTATTATAAAGTATAAGTTTACAAACTTACATAATCTTTTATTGGTAGATTTTTACACATAAACCTAATGTGAGTCATTACTATATTTTTAGACCAAAAACCTTCCAGACTATTATGAATACAGTTTGATTTTAATTGCTACCATTAAGGAAAGGAAGAATGGACTCAATGTCTTAACCATTTAGTAAAAATCTTCATCCAAATTAAAACCACAACACATTCTTCAAAACTATCTTTTGAATATTTTCCCATTTCAATGAAAAGCAACCAGTTTCCCCATTACAAGGGAAAATCCTGGGTTCATCCTGTGGTGTGAGCTTCCCCAGGTGCTAGTTTCTTCTGGTGTGAGCTACTCCTGGTGTGAGCTTCCCCTGGTTCTGGCTTCCCTGGGTGCCAGCTTCTCGTAGTGCAGCCCAGTCCTATTGGCTTTCCTCTGAAAACATGATGAATATGAGCTTTCCTTACTCCTCTGCCCCTGTCTGCCTTGATCCCCATTGGCCTTTGCTCAG